CGCATGACCAGCAGGTGGGTTAAAGACGCAAGCGCCACGCCAAGGCACTTGATGCAAGAAATAGCGGTGGGAAATCGAAAAGGAACGTGCGCTTACATGTCAACGTTGTGGTATCGGGGCACGACCTTGCCTCGCTGAATAGCGAATCGGTTGGGGCTGTTTGTATCGTGAAAAATCCCCAAGTCGTCGAGTGGTTCGGGAAAGTTGTCGTCAACAGCGTCTAAGCGATGATGTGTCCTCCCAGGTCTGACAGCTCGCGCGCGCTTTTGGGCCACCATGTGCTTATGTACGCTGCCACCTGAATGACGTCCCTGGAAGACTTCCTCTGGGGCTGCCATGACAGACGGTGATGACGAGGTTCGCAGGCGGTCCCACATGGCGGAATATAAGCCTAAAAACTTGGTAGGGTCTGCTGAAACGTGAGACACAGGAGGCCGGAGTGTGTTGATGGTGGTGGTGGCGGTGGCGGGCAGCGCTTGGCAAGCTTTCCGGACTCGCCCAAGCTCCTCTGACCTGCGAGAACCTACCGAAAACGCCGGTGTAAGTTATTGGTTGAGCCGGGTGGGCAGATGCTTGGCCAGTTGGCTGGGCTTGGGACTGACCAATTTCTAGACTGGTTCGAGCTTCAGTCTTGCAAAACCGAGGTTTTATTCGTTCCAAAGCACACAATATGAGCTTGCTTCGTCCTCTGATGCACAACACCAAGGCCCGAACAAAAGGAAAAGCCGTTTAGCTACTTGTTGAGATGGTGGGTGGCGTGGCTAATATTGACTCCTGCGAGTGCTCCAAGTGGTTGCAGGGGCCACCAGAACATCCAGGGCAACTGGTCGTCTGGGTGTTGTTGTGGTGTTGACCGTCTTGTTCGTGGGCCGCTCGGCCATGCGCGTGCCAGACAATGGAGTTGATGCTTTGGATCAATGATGGCTGAAAAGCTGGCTGAAAAGATTACGAGGCCAAAAAATAAATATTGACAGTCTGGTTCAAAGCGAGCTCAAAGCTCACCAGACATGTGCAAGTCAGCGGGTCGCACGTACCACAGGGAGGTAGTTCCTTCCTTCCCTTTGTCTGTTCGCCGTGCCTTCCGATGGAAAAGGCTTCGCAGTTGGTAAGACAAGAGGTCCGTCGAGTTGGCAGAACCCAAGAGTATTGTCAGGGTTTCAAGGCCGACAGACTTGCAATGGCTTATCCTGGTTTATGTATGATTTCCATCTATAATGCGGTACTCCATGCTCCATACTCCATACTCCATACATACACTGTTCCTGAGACTAATTATAATCTCAGCCAAGGGGTCAGCCCACCCCGCAATTGCCTTGTCGCGATCTGCATTCAACCAGAGCCACTAGCCATGCGTTTGCATCCACAGTCCGCGAACCCGCGCGCGGTTGGAAAATGACGGCAAACATACCAATTTGCCAATGGATCTCCTTCTGTGGCTGCAGTGCTGTCGGCCTTGTCCTTGATCGCACAGACGTTTTGCAACAGCTGGTTTGTTTCCCAAATGGCCCCATCTCTGTCAGGACTGAGATGGGTAGGGATCAGCCCTTGCATGAGTGCAGAATCTTTACCGCCATAAACCAGCTCTTCACCAGCTCGCCAGTATCAGACGACAGGAGCCAACCGAGCCAAACAAAACATGGATGAATGTTCTAGCGTCTAGCGATAAACATTCTGGGCCATACGCTTCTCGCCGTCTCACATCCACCTCGGCTGGCGTCCTGTTCCATGTTGGTTTCAGAACATTGGGCCGAATGGCAGGTACTTGGGCAACTGTTGAAAAACATGCCTCGTGACGAAAACGAATGTCAAATCGATACAATCTTCTCCGAACTAATTCCAGATACAGAAAGGCTTAATTATTTGAGACGGTTCTCATGCTTTCGGAAGGCGGCACGCAAGATTCCTTTAATACACATCATCTTACTCGTCGTGATGCCTTCATAGCCAGGAATGAGAATATCAACCTTCCCGAGATTCCGGTTACGTCCAATTTTATCAGCCTAGGGTCACACCGAAATGACTACTAGGCAATGGCCAGGTCCAGATATCAGTCTTGCCACTCAAAAAATAGCCAAGCACGAACATTGTTGTGGCCACTTGATTTGTGAGTGCACGCCTGGATAAAACGGGGTATTCTCACCATGATGCTATCTATATGCGAACTTGGCAGCATTTGCTACTTTCTTGCCCACTGTACATGCTCACTGTACGGAGGTGTTTTTGTATCCCAGCTTCGTTGCGCGGACATGGAAAAGCTCCCAGGTTTCTTTGTTGCCAGCCATCGAGCAAACACATCTACCTACCTAGGTAGGTAGTCGATAGCAACTTCGGCCAATAGTTTGTTTCATGAGCAGGCGCTGGGTGCTCCGTACAGAGAGTAATGGCTACTGTTTCAGGCCTCGGCGGCGCCAAACCCTGGCTCACTCCACCACATCACGCTCTCCTTATTCGTCTGAATAGAGCAGTTGCACACGACAAAGCCAGCAAATGCTCCGCAAGCACGGACTACGCTATACCTTCAAGTGGGTTTTCAACATTTAGTTATCACTGCCGACTATCTTGGGAATTCTACTTACCCTTGACGGTGAGCAGAGATGGTTGGTACCCGGTACTCTTTCCGGACCGGATTCACTTCGTCGAAAGAGGGCAAGGAGCACAGCAAAATGATCAGGATGTGCTGCACAAATGACCACTGCGTCAACTCGAAATATTCCTCAATGCTGAGCCAGGTACAGTGTTCCAATCGCATCATCGCGATCGACAATCTCAGACCGGACGTTGGCGCAGTCACTGGCTCCAACGATGACAGAATTGTATGTTGGCACGGAGGTCAGCCTTCATTCCCTTTCAAGACTGTTATTGAAGTGTGCTACTCCGTATAGCGGCATCATTACCCGTAGCTCGTGTTTCAAGGTGGTCAGGACATGAAATGTCGCAGTCTCTAGCTGTAAGCGTTCTCGTGTTTCCAATGATTCTTGATCGTATTCTGAATGTCAATGTAGAGATACAAGATCCACGCGAGTCAGCGACTAGAAACACATGCTCTCTGATTGTAGTTCAGCTCTAGACAGCTTCATCGAGGATGATTGTTATGTCTGGTTACATACAATCGAGCGCTAGCGCCGGCAGGAGACTTCTTATATGCTGTTTTTCACGCCGTACCCATCCATACAACTCAACTGTGTGTGTTCAATGGGACTTGAACAACATGGCCAGGTTAGTGTTATCCGCCAAAGAGCAGCAGAGCATTTCAGGTATTTTGTCGGCTCATTTAGCGACGCCCAGCTCTGAAAGGCATGGCTGGGACCCATGAACTTAAAGCATTGCCCACAGAGTCACACCACCCGCCAATCCCCAGCCAACAACATGGCTTAATAAAGGTTGACCAAGGGCGCTCGCAGCGCTTCTCCCACCGGAACCATACACGGTTCCGTCATGCTGGACCCTGAATTCGACCGTCAATCCCGACGGGGTGCATATCGTCCCGGCAGCGCAGTTCATCACGGCACTCCACTGACCACTGGCGCATCGTTGGAACGAGTTGGTCATGCAGTTCCATTGGCCCTCGGTGGAACAGGACGAGCCAACTGACTGGGAGCGTCTGAATAAACTCGGTGGTGCAATTTCAGTCTTTTGAGCGTATGCATGAGCTGCAAGCATGGGCAAAAGGATGAGTGCAATTGCCGTTTGCAGAAAAAATGGCCGTAGCTGAGAAAAATCCATGTGTATTTTGGTAAAATGGTCGGAATATGAATTGCCCAATTCGGAAGAATGGACTCGAATCGTTGGACAAAATCAACGGCTGAAGGCGTAGGAGGGGCTCCGATGATTTCTTCTCTCTCTCTTCTTTATGAAAAGAAATTAAAAAATTACAAGAAAAAAAAACGAGTTTATAAAATCGGGACGTGGTGAAATTTATCCTGTTCACAATGGTGCCTTTCCTGCCAAATTCGCTTTGTGACCGAATTGCTGCCCAGTTCGGACCCATCGCCACGGACGTGTATACATCACATTGGCGGGATCGAGTCACGAACCCACCAGATTCACGTTGGGACAGCTGGGATCGAAGCGGTGTAATGGCCCCAGGCCCTGTGCCTGACGGGATCATGGCAGGGTTGGATTGGGCTGCAGATGTTCAATGCGTGGCAGGTCCCCGGGATCGATATGAGTGAAACATGGGCGATTACCGATGCTCAAAATTTCGGGTTTAATCCACGCATAAAATAGAGAGTTTGGACATTTTTTTTTTATTTTGCTGCAATTTCGAGACTTGGATCCTTTGCTGGCAATTCATTTCTACAACTCCTCTAGCCCAATTCGTATCTTCAAATTTTGCCTAGCAAACGACTACATATGCACGAGTCAGAGCCGTGACGGGATCGCCACGGAGAACTCATCCCGTAACCAAGCCCCAAACCGAGAGTTTGAAGCAAAAGAGTGACTTGTCAAACGCTGTAGCTAAAGAAGCCTACTGTCAACATCCCGCGGAGCCGTGAGCTGTGAAGTGGCGGACGAGGAGGGTGAGCAACATGAAGACTATCTATCACGCTTCGAACGGTCTCAACCCTCCTCCCATTAGATTGGTAGTCCGTGTATGACACGCAAATAAACAATGGTATATAGAACTGCGTAATCTACCTACTTCTTTGGCGGACGATTGTTGGATGCGATCGGAGAATATATACGCCCAAGACACCCGGCAGCCTCGAACGTCCTCGCAGACCAACGCGCATTCGCAAACGGCGCCGTAACACCAGCAAGTCGACGTTGAGCTCTTCTTCCAGCAAAAAATGCCCAATGCAGCGTCACAGCGAAAGAGAGAGCTGCCAATGCCATGATCTCAGCTTCCCCAACCAAAATACCTGTACTGACCACTCGCCGTATACTCCGCCCTGCAGGTGTTTTGCAATCCTTGTGTACCGGGGCAAAAACAAGTCCTGCCTTCGCTCTCAGTCCTTCCTCTGTTCGGGGCCTCTGTGCCCGCCTCCATGGTGAATCCCTCAAGCAGCGCCGTCTTTGCTCGCGGCTGCCTCATCCCCTTGAACCCTCGTCATACGACGGAGTCTCTGTAGAACAAGCAGCACAGATACTGCCGTCAGGGCCAGAGACAAGACACAAGTCACCAAAACCGCCACAATGACAATGGTTTCCTTCTCGGCCGTGGGCGAAGTTTGTACGGTGATGGCCGTGCCGTTCGCGTTGGGGAAGTCTGTCTCTGGGTTCCACATCCTGAGTGTTTGTTTCTGGAGAAGCATTTAGTCACTGGTTTTTCACTCATGATGGCGGTGATTTCTTACTGGGAAGTCTCGAGTCTTTTATGCCGGTAGTTGAGGGCGGAGTCACGATTTGCGAGATTGCGTTGGACTGGTTGATGTTTCTGAGATTTATCATGTTGCCGGTTGTCATGGCATTTGATTTGAAATTTGGGAGGGAGTTTTGATATTGTTCAGCGCGGCGACATTGTTGTTGTCCTGTGAGTTTGCTTGGTTCGATCGCATTAATATTGTCGCCGAAAGTGAGCGTGATGTGACAGGCATGCATATCTTGCTATATATAACAATCGCTTTCACCTGCACATTTTTTTCTAGAAAAGAAAACACCCAAGAAAATCCATCAAGTATTGTCATCCTTGTAAGATTGATATTATTCCGTTTATCGACATTATATACCTAGGTAAATGGCACCACACCCCAGCGCTTGGTGCGTGTCGCCACAACCAATTGACAATATGCATATATACATATGCATGAGTATGCCCCAGTGATATCCCAAACTCCAAAGGCCATGTGCTGCAAGTTTCTGATGCCCTCCTCCATATTCTGCATGCGTCTTGCAAGGTCTTCCCCGTCCATGGCCGCGATTCCCTCTCCCATTCTCATTACTTCTTACATGCGTTTCAAAACATATCGGCAATGTGGTGAGTTTGTACATGTGAACTCATTAATAATTTACGAAATAATCTTAAAAACGTCGGAACCGATGCGTAGCGGTGTCATTCCAAGCTGGGTATGTTGTGTGCCACTTGCCATCGTCATACGTATTTGTTGAGGTTGATGAGGATGAGGGCGTGAGGAAGACAGTGCTCAAAGTGGTGGGGATCCAGGTGGTATTAGTCCCTATGGGCGCAGGAGTCGTGGTGGACGGTTCCGGTCTACTTCCGGTTCCAAGAAGAGTCGTTGCGCCTACGGCTGTGTTGGTGGTTTCTGAAAATGGATCTGATGTGGTTGTTGTGTGGTTGGAGCTTGGAACAGACCAAGGGTTTGTTGACATTGGTGCAGGCGGCGTCGCAGAGGGGATCGAGGGGATTGTATCCGTTGGGGTGACGACGATGGATGTTGTGGAACTAATTGGCGATATGGGTGTTGCTGCTGTAGAGTTGGCCTGAGTGGAGGTGGTAGTAAGTGTTGCTGTTGTTGGATCAGAAACCGAAGTCGTTGTTGGATCAGAGACCGGAGTCGTTGTTGGATCAGAAACCGGAGTCGTTGTTGGATCAGAAACCGGAGTCGTTGTTGGATCAGAAACCGGAGTCGTTGTTGGATCAGAAACTGAAGTCGTTGTAGGAGCAACAACTGAGCTCGTCGTCGCAGGGGTGGCGATTGAGGCCGTCGTTGATGCAACAGTGGGTGTCACTTCAGCAGTTACAGTTATTGTAACATCTGGGTTGCCTCCAATGGGAATTATTGAGATGGTGGTAGGAGCCGGGTGCGTGACAGTAACAGGCTGGCCAGTTTTCGTGACTGTGTGAGTAACAGGATCTTCGGTCTCGACGACCGTCTTGGTCACGTCACTGCCCTTGGAGCTATTTTCGCCATTGCCACCGTTGCCGCTTTGTGGATCATCATCGCCAGGCTCAAGAGGTACCACGGAATACTTGGGCTTAACAGGAGTAGTAGCTGCTGCTCGAGGCACCATGTCCAATTGTGGGAGTGCAGAACCAAGCGTGGCAAGTGCTGAGAGCACGGCAACGAATGAGACGGGTCCACGCATGTTGACGGAAACTGTCCCTTCAAACTGCGCCGGCCGTAGCAATGTGGTTGTGGTTATGGTTGCGATGATGTTTCAGATGGCAGTTGAGGAAGTCCCAAGGACAAGAATGGATGACAACGGATGGTGATTAGTGCAGTTGACCAGGAATGCAAAGGCAGTCTTGCAGACGAAAATGGACAAGACGGAGAATGGCCACTGGTGGCAGTAAATATAGAAAAGAGAAAAGGTATGTAACGCCAAATGCGTACATATGTACGGAGTACTCCATAGCGATTTTGACATATCGTCGGTGCGCCCGCCTATGAATGTGGACTGGTGGTGGTCTCGAGAATTCAAGGTGGCTGGTGAAATGTGGTGGTTGGAGACGGCGCGGCAAGGGACAGGGACAGTGCTGCTGAAAGAGGCAGGAACGGGAGATGGTAGCAATTTAGTGCCAGGGGTAAGTCTGTGGAACATGGGGAACACTTGGTGGCCAAGTACATGACGGGGCAAATTTGGCGGCAGGGTACATGTATGTTGTAGTACCAGTACTAACTCTGTTTGGAACTTGGGCCGATTACTTGGCTGGTTGCAACACAAGCATTGAGGTTCCAGGTGTCTGACCCGGGTGAAGTTCCAGATGTCCGCCGTGCAAGGTCCAGTTCAGTGGCGCCCGGTGTTCCTCTGTCACTCAGACCGTTGGTGGTCAACAGTGGCGGTTGGCCTCAGTTGAAAATTCTGGTTTGGTGTTGCCGGACCCCGTACTCCGTAATCGTGCCAGCCCCACTTATTTTAGGTGGTGAGGGCAACGAGCCACCTAAAGGTGCACGATAACAACCTTGCTGTACTCCGTATCGCCCCCTGGCTGGTTCGGCAGCACCCGCCGAGGCCAGCCACCTTTAAATGTCGGTTGTTTATCAGACCATGCCCTTTGTTTTCACAGCAGCAGACCCCTTCAGCACCCAAAAATCTATCCAGCAAATAGGACCAGATCCCTCACGCCCATCGCCTTTGTTCCAAAACATCAGACTGGTCTGTCCCGAGAACAGACAATAGGCTTCAATGTTTTCCTGGAGGAGCACCTCCCCCAATGTTTCGGGATGTTGCTTCCTTTGTTGATGTACTGTACGAGTAAGTCTTGGCTGAACGCCGTGGCGCCGCGTCCCCTCATTTGACTCGAAGGTACTACGTAGTAGGCAGGCACTCCGTCCTGAGTATTGAGTGTCGACAAAGAAGCATTCTCCTTGATACTTGCCGCCATCAGACCAGATGGAATTTGCACGTAGCCGTGAATCGTTGCAGCTGCAGAGCCCAGCCAAGACAAAGGCAGCCCGACTTCGGGTAGCTTAGTCAGTCATTGCGCAACTGCATTGGAGGCCTTGTGGCAGTGCAATCGGGATGCGTGACTTGGGCACAGCTCACCAACAACCAGTCAAGACTGACAGCGAATGGGTGGCAATTCGACAGGCGAGCACTCCGTACAGAGCAGTTATAACGGCTTCCTCATCTACCGTCTCCTACTCCGTACTCCAAGTCGCCATGGATGCCGAGTATTCTCTGCCCGCCACATCAATTGATCCCATTGCTTCCGCTGCCTCAGCGACACAACGACATGGCAGCCAGTAACAGGACTTGGGTTAGTGATGTGCTGCTTCGTCGCAGAAAAGTAGCTCTGATGTCTGCCGATGCACCAAATGTCGCCCACAGTTGCAGGTTAATCCATGATCCACGCAACTGTCAAATGTGTTTGTGGGAGAAAACGTCATCATGTGAGGCTCACGCGAGACCGTTGCGGGGTTTCGTCCAGCCGGCTGCCCACTTTGACCAGGCTACAGTGGGTGTACAGTGGGTGTACATGACGTTGAGATGGCCAGGCCAGCAACTCAGCTCCAAGCTCAGCCACCTTGTGATTGATCATTGATGGCTTGTCGCCACCAGACTGTCAATGGATGAGGCTGCCAGCCAAGTCTCAACGGTTTGCACAAGTGCTTGGCTTGCTTACTTAGACGTCTGCATGTGGTGTTCAGGTAGTTGCAAGGTACCAAGGCTGACGAGAGCAAGTGGGATGGACAGCACGCACACAGGTTTCGTACTCCATTTGAAGGAAGGCCTTTTCGGGTCATCAGAGTGGGTTTGCCCGTACTTAAGCTAATCCCTCCCCTCATCACGGCCATTTGCGCCGCTTTTGCGTTTCTCCAATCCACCTGTTGATTCCATCCGCCGTGGCTGCTTGCGTCATTCGCAGATCGACCCAGGAACAAAGAAAGGACGGCAACCCGATACGCAGAATCCCTTTGTCAAAATGTCGTATCAAGGATATGGTCAGCCCTACGGTCGTGAGTGAGACCCAACCCCTCCATGCGCGAGCTCCTTGTTCGAAAGCTTGCCCGACAGCTTGCACTAACCAGCGTTTTGAAATATCGAACAGAACCGCCACCACAGGCAGGCTACGGCCAGTATCCTCCGCCACAAGGCCAATATCCTCCGCCGCAAGGCCAATACCCCCCTCAGCAAGGCCATTATCCTCCACCCCAGCAGGGAGGATACTATCAACAGCCGCCTCCGCCTCCGCCAGGCCATTATCCTCCTCCTCACCAGCAACCCTACGGTCAACAGCCGCCGCCGCAGCAGCACTTCAATGCTCCTCCGCCCGCACCTTCGCCATACGGCCATCACTCGCCTGCGCCGCCCCAGGGCCAGTACGGCGCTCCCTACGGCGCTCCCCCTCCCCAGCAATATGGCCATTCCGTGCCAGCAACGCCGCCGTCGAAGGGATATGGCGCGCCCCAGATCATTCAATGGGATGCCAATCCCGATGCGCAGGCATTGCGGGCTGCGATGAAGGGCTTTGGCACGGACGAAAAGGCCTTGATACGAATTTTGTCCACCAAGGACCCACTACAGATCGATCTTATTCGGACGACATTTGACCGCACTTTCAAACGAAGTCTCATTGACGACATCAAGAGCGAGACAAGTCGGTATTTCGAAGACGGGCTGGTGCAGCTAGCCTACGGCCCTCTGCTGGCCGATGTCCACAACCTGAGAGATGCTATGAAAGGCATCGGAACCAAGGAATCAGTCCTCAACGACGTCCTTCTTAGCAGATCCAATGCTGATATCAAGGCCATCAAGGGCGCATACCGTCAGCAGTTTGGCAGGTCCCTGGAGCAAGATGTCAAGGGTGATCTGAGCATGAAGACTGAAAGGCACTTCCTCATGGTGCTTGCGGCCAACAGAGCCGAAGATGCTGAGCCAGTGGATCCCCGAAAAGTCGACGACGCCGTGATGCATCTTTATCAGGCGACTGAAGGCAGGATGGGCACGGACGAAATTCTTGTTTGTCAAATCTTGACCAGCCACAACGATAACCAAATCCGTGCCATTGCCCACACCTATAAGCAAAAGTTCAACCGTGACTTGGCCAAGGTTATTGACTCTGTAAGTTGAAGTTCCTATGGGTCCTGTCGATGAATGGTTTAGCATGGGGCTAATAACGAGCAGGAATTCTCTGGGCACATGAGGGATGCGCTCCTCTTCCAGCTGGGCCACGCCGTCGACAAGTATATGCACGCTGCTGAACTGTTGGAAGAGACCATGCGCGGCGCGGGAACCAAAGACTTTTTACTTGTTCTTCGCGTAGTCCGGCTTCACTGGGATCACACTATGCTATCCAACGCCAAGGCTGCATATCAACAACGCTACCGCCGAAGCCTGGCCAGTCGTATCGACGGAGAGGTATCTGGGGATTACAAGAGATTGATGCTGGCGTGCATTGGCGAGTGGCGTTGAGAAGTGTGATGCAATGGTGCGATTTTGGGAAGGTAGTTGTGACTCGTGAGGCATACAAATCGGCAGGGGGGCAAACGGAAATGGACATGGCATTGCGGAACTTTCGGGCTTGCTGTATGGCGTTTTGGAGCACAGGGTTTGCTATGCGCAGTCATGTCATGCGAAGGGACTGGCTGAAAGCATGGCGCAGCGGTCATTGAGGTCCTATATAATACTATGTAGCATAAAGTCCGGTTGAAAGATCTCAATGTTTGAGAGAGGAACTACTGTTACGTCCCCACGTATCCTGTAACGATCGCAACTTCTCCTTTGAGCCTTGATACATGTATCGGTTAGTGGGGCTTTGCAGGGTTATTGCCGGAGAATTACGAGACATTTGAATGCATGATATGGGATACACGATCATGACTCGGCGGCAGGATTGTATTGAAACCCATAGGCCGGTACATACATAAGTTCTTATGCGACACGACAAGCATCCCCAACACCTCTCAACCTGACGGATGCGTTGCAACGCATGGCAACAGGCATGCTCAAGTACTTGTCTAGGAATAGGCACCAAGACAGGTCGAACTAGGTGCACAGATGAAAGTCTAGACGTTCAGCAAGGCGCTTGCAATGGCACTCGGGCTATGTTTCCTGTCAGAATCGAGCCCTGAGAAGATGGCTTAGAAATCCACATGCCAGTGAAGCAAATGAATCAGTAGCATCAAACGACATCCCTAATAAGCCTTAGTCGGCGAAATAAGCCTTTTCGGCATAATAATTACCGACTCGAAAACGATGAGACTGGGCATTATTACATGGGTGCTTGTGGAGACTCGGTGTCATGAACTTGTACGGAGTCCTCCGTGCTCCACAACTAGTACTAGATGATATTAAATTACTCCGTGATCTACGTGTGATAAATTACATAAATTCCCGGTGCCGGTGGGGTGATGAATTATAAGCCAGGTTGTGTGAGCCTACCATTAAACCGCTAAGCTGAATTAGCCCTTTGCCGCCTATGCAATTATGCGCTAACGTACTTATGTGAGCCTAAATTGTGAGGCAGAAATAGTCTTTTCTCCTCGGCCAACCCCCTCCAACTACTATTACCGCGCTCTCGTTTTAATTTAATTTTTTTTTTTATGTTAAAACAACCCTTCCTCCCTCCCTTTGCTCGCCCAGGGACCCGGAACTGATTTTGTGCATGTCAAAAAAGCACCGGCAAAAACTCTTTTTCTAGGGACAAATTCAAATCGCTCGGCCTGACTCACCATCTTCGGTTTGTGTTGGCACACCACGCTTGACGGCTGCACATCGCGCTCCGTCGTGACTCGTCGGCCTGTTTATGCTGCCTAGTATCGACCTAACTGGGTAATTTCTACGTACCAAAGGTACTTGGGTACTACGGCGTTCGCGTAGACATTGTGGAGGACCACTGTTTGTCTCTCGTTTAAGCACTTTAAAATCGGCACCGTCAGATTTTGCTTGGCGGGGGGGTGTGCTGTGCTCCTCAATATAGGTACGTACGTCGAGTTGTGATGAATACTAGTACTCGGTTTCTGTCTATTTGCTACTGTTGTTCACATTATTATTCATGCTTTTCCCCTGAGGGCTTCTCCACCTTATTTGCGTTTCGCAGTTGCCCAAACGCGGACACTAGGAGAAAATAAAAAGAGAAGGCACCACCACCACCAGACTCATCTAACGCATATATTTAGCCACGAATCCCGCCGGCCTGTTAGGCAATCATTGATCTTTGGAGGCTGGGCCTATGCAGGTTGAGACGTGTCCCAAAATGGCGGACCACACAGGCCAAAAAATGACTGGGCCGGCGTCGCCCGTTGTGGTATCAAGCGCGTCATCAATATCAACTGGCCCTCTGCCTTCGCCGGGAGCAAGCAGGCGCAACTCGCCTTCAGATCAGAACATGAATGCTACACAGGCTGATCCCTCCATGCCGACTCAACTGGCACATCCGCCCCCGGCACCAACTCCAACTGCACCAGCGGCACCGGCGACGCCTCTGACACCAGCGACCCCGATTGCCTCTGGAGCAGCGTCTGCCCTGGGCCAACACAGTAACGCTGCGGCACAGATGCTCCCGAGTGTGCAGACTGTACGACCTCAGATGCCATCGTCGACAATGGCTCAGGTTCATCGACCGCCGATCAACGGCTTTGGGCCGCCTCCTATGCATCCTCAGCAGGGCCAAAGGCAAAGGGTTGCCTACCCATCTCCGAGGGTGAACGACACGCAACTATGTAATTCGGCACAATATGTTGCGCTAATCCAGCTGATGCAGAGAACTGAACCCCAAGTGCTGCGGCAAGTGATTAGAGATTATCATGAAACGTGTTTACTTGGTTCAGAGTATCACTTAGCCTTTATAGTGAGTAAAGCGCCCTCATTACCTACCAGACTGTGTTGTCGTCCAAATCGATTCGAAAGCTGCGTCGCTTCAAGTCCTAACCTCTCGACTAGTTTAACACGGCGATTCACAAGGCCCACAAGCCAACATTGACTCAAGCCATCGCAGATTTTGGCTCAAGGCTTGTTCAAACGTCAAAGTCCCAGCTTATCTCACACTTCACAGCAGAGGACTTGGATGAAGTAGCAGATGAGATCCTGAGCAAGGCCAGCACCAACTTTTTGGACCAGGCCCTGGCCCGGCGGTTGGAGACCATTCGTGCCCGTTCGCTGGTAAATGCTCTGGCCAAGGCAGAGCGTCTTGGATATGATGTCAAGGATGCTGTCGAGGAGAGAAAGGATGGAACTGAACATGTTATTCCGTACATGAAGCATGATTTGGCCCAACACCCATCACAACATGAGCAGCCTCAGGTACAGCCTCACGCGCAGTCTTTTGTGCAGCCTTCAATCCAATCAGTTCAAATTCAATCTATGCCAGCAATGCCAGCCTCTACATGGCCGGGCCCGCAACCGCAGGCGACGCAAAGACCAACGAATAGGCACAGTTATTCCACTTTGACTCAGTGTGGAGTCTGCAGTCGTCCGTTATCAGGTCCGGACGCGCTCATATTTGTAGGTTTTGCTGGCTCCTCCAACCGAATCCAACATTTGTACCCTGCAGCAAACTAACTCAAGTCAGCATAAATTGAAACAGGTTTGCTACGGCAATTTCAGGACAATTGACCGAGTTGGCAGAGAGATTTGCCCTCACTGCGGATCCTACTTCAGTACTGGTGGTTTGCCGTATCATATCAAGTCGCAAGCGTGTGGGAAATACACCGAGAGGGACGCCTCTGCCCTTATGCCATCACTACAAAGGTTCTACCAAGAGCATGTTTCTGCTGGACCCTCTGGAGCGGCCCAGGGCCCACGGTTAATGCCGTCGTCAACCCCAGATCAGAGCCGGAGGCAGCCTGCCCAGTCATCTGCCCCTACCACTCATTTCACAGCTGTAAACTCGGGCACGGCGGCGACGATGACGCCTCGGAGTGCCTCTGCAACAGGGAAAGGCTCTGGCCCATATGCACACCTCTCGCCCGAGGACAGAGATCGACTTAAAGAGGAATTGGCACATACTGAAGCACACTACGGTGCACTCTTGCGAAAGGCCATGCAGCTTCCACAACCACAGCAAGATGAAGAGGTAGCCAAAATCAAGAACTGCTTCAATACAAAACAATCAACAACTCGCAGGAAGTATGGGGTTAAACTTCGGGAAAGACGCACCAAAGCCGAAATTGAGGCAGAGCGCGAGAGGTTGATCACAGCACCACCAGAAGAAAATCTTGGGCGGCGACAAGACGCGTCGGCTAGTCAAAATGGGTCCGAACCAGTGGGAAAGAAGGCTCGTATCAACGAAAGAGGCGATTCTGCACCTACTTCGCAGCCTGCAGTCTCAAGCCCTGTTACTGAATCACCACGGAAGCGAGTTCGACTGGCAGATATGGGTGGCCTAGGTGCATCAGCAGCCACGGCAGAGCACATAGATCCTACCACTGCGGCAGCACAAGACCATTCAGCGTCACAGCCGCAACCAGCGAAGGAGTCACCTGGTAGTAATGTTGTCGGAGCTACCCCAGACGCCCCGGCGAGTACAGGAGCACGCAACGACCCGATGAAGCTTGACGACAGCACTGATACCGAAGACTCAGACTCTGAGGAAGAAGATGGCGATATCCCTGCTGTTTTGACTAAAAAGATGTGAGACGCAGCCGGCACGACTGGTCGAATCAACTTCTGACGTTATTGATTGGCGGTATGCATTTGGAGCTATGGCTGCGGAAATTAACAATTGTGGTTCTGGAGCAGGTTTTTTTAACAGAAGGGAGTTTATGCGTGATTTGTGGGAACTGGGAGCAATATATCACATTTGCGTTTTACAAGGATGGTGGTCTTTATGGCAAACCGTAGAGGGAGACTTGGCGCAGGGAGTATGGAAATGGCGGCATGAGGAGCAGAACAAGGATAGGAATGAATACCATCTCGGGACGAGAACGAGAGTTGAGGATAGATACGCATTGCACATTCAACTGGATGATTAAGCTCCAAAGTTGAAACTAGTTGCTTTGGCTCCCCATGTAATATACCTTTTTGGTCCCAGCGACCTCGGCAGGGACTTCAATGTTAATTTGTTACAAAGCCTCGAGCCAAGACTTGTGAGCTGAACTTTGCCCAGTATCGACGATACGTTGACGCAATCAATCGACTTCGAACTTATGAGGCATGTGTGCGGTGCATGAGAACGGCCATGCAGCGCAACCTTGTGACCTGCATTCTCTGAAACCGACGCCAGGTGGACAAAGCGGGCGATTGATGACGGCACCGGGGAACCGCCTATTCACTGTGTGCGCGCGCTGGGCGCCGTGGTTCGCAGCGATCAACGCTTTGATACACGGGATGATATTACGAGGGGGCCTTTGCATTCTGTTGGACTCGGTCCAGGGGGGGCCAATATCTACATCTGTACGGAGCACGGCGGCTCTTGGATCACGATCGTAGATGAAAGGTGTAATCGCATGATGGTCATATGCTTGCTTCCAAATAGTTTGTAATCTGGAGATGTCTGTCATGGAGCCGAGGTCACGGCTGCGTTATCTGGCATGGCGTCTGGTGCGACTGTGGATGGACGGACAGCTATCGTGAGCGTCGGGTCGACGGGAAACCGTGCTCTTGCATCCCTGAGCGTTCATCTGGCCATTAAGGTTCCTGCCCAGTTTGGCTGGCCAGACGGGGTGAAACACGGATTATCATCTTGTCCGGTGGCCAGGACGGTGCTTGCCTTTTCTTTTCCTTTTTTCCTTTTTTTTTTTTTTAGTAGTTCCCCTTATCTGAAACCATCTACTCCGTACGTATGTATTATATTCGCCATGTCTTTTTGGCCAGCATGATTGGACCGAACTCGTACATGTCTAGTGGTCTGCTGCGCCCGCGGGATCGGGATGGGCCAGGGTCTTTGATAATTCCTGCAGCAAAAGACTCGTGATGATTTTACTCAACTCGGTATGTGTATGTAGTACATTCACTTTAAATTACTAGGTAGTCGGTGCGTGGCCGTGACAAACCAATGCGGGTACTTTGCCTCCACTCGCCCCCCGGGGTCATCTGCCTCTGTGACTGATTAGTACTTCCGAGCTGACCTGTATGGCTCAGGAACAGAAACGCAAAGCGAAATCGACACAATGCTACGCCGTGCTGCGTACTGAATCGATGGGTGTATATCGACCCACAGCCGTGCGTCTCCCGTGGCCCCCGGTCGAGTCAGCTCCTCGCAGCATCGACGCCGTCAACGGAGTGCGACAAGAGAAATCATGGCCACGTTTTTGTTGGAGTCTGTCTCACGCCTAATGAACCACATACCACGTTGCCCTACTCCGTATTGGCCCGTTGTTTCCCCTTCTCCTCTCTCTCCCTATGTCAGCCATGACGCAAGTTTCCTCAAGACCTTCCAGAGGAGTGCCGAGTATTTGAGTACATGCGCAAGTCGGCAAAGTAGGCATCCAGGGATCGGACCACGCATAAGAGATGGAACCCTCATGAATCGGCTACCACGCTGCAAGCAGGTCATCTTCCCGGTCGCCAAGGCGATGCGTGGGAACTGGAAAGCCTTTGAAAGGAAAAAGAGAGGAATCCAAAACAGCAGTGCTCCCCGCAATTCTGTGCTACGCGAGAAGCACGAACCCATCGCTTGTGGAAAACAGTGTCGATCCTAGCCCGGCACTGCTGGTAAAAAAAATTGGGGAACATGGGTTGATATGAAGAGCGACATGCATGTCTTTGTTTTATTCTGCTCTTGGTTGCTGGGAAGCCTTCCTTCCTCTCCCCAGCTGATACAGCAACAAGCATTTGGGAACCGGGGGTTGGCTGCTGACCATGGTTGAAATAACAGGGGTGTCGTGGGTGTCATGAAACGTCTGGTTTGGCCAAGAAGTCTGCTCGACATTTCTCCCCTCGGAGATGTGTGACTGGCACGGGACGGTGGGAATCCTTTAGCAATCATCTAACACTCTTGCACTCTTCTTTTGTTTGTCATGGAGCCTAATAGTCTTACGGAGTACACATGAAGCATGTCGGCACCGTTGGTGAGGCGGCCACGTCCCAATACTAAGGCTAAAGGGTTATGAGTAAGTCCTCGGTGTCATGCTAGCACTAAACAGGATGTTTGACCCGGCTTGACAGGAGCACACTACTCTGTTTCAAGATCCCTTGATTCTTCCCTGGAGGGGGTGGTGGTTTTGTAGGCTGCGGACTTGCTTACTCTTTTGTTCGTATTGCAAAACAGTTCAAAAGATGTAGCTATGCGTGTTAACCACCAGCCCAGGCTACGAGCGACCATCTGTTTCCTAACACCCGTGTCTTCTAATACATAGTTAGTCTTACTTTTATAAACTCTTGCTGGATGCTAGCTCTTTTCGTTTTTTTTTTATGTCCTTGGTCCTCCCCCGGTCTGCCTAGCTAGGTTTATGGTTGGGTGCGTGTCATAAGGTGCGTTCTGCGCACCGACTGGTGTATCGACCCTGGGCTCAGGCAACCTTGTGCGTCACATTCTTTTACTAACTGATTGTAGAAAGGAAACGACATCACATCTTCCGTGCGTCTTCCCGTCTTGGCTATTCGGGACGGTACAGGGACAGACAGGCCGTTGGGTTTGCCGGCTTTTGCGGGAGGAGAGGGGGCTTTGCTCTTCTTGCTATCAATACATTTCTTGGCCGTCCGCACACGCCCATCGACACTGCTACTCTTGAGTGAAGAGAGAGATTCAAGAAAAAAGAGTACATGACACTTGGCTTGGCGGGCGTCTTGAGTCTATCTAAACTACTGATGCCATGGTGCCCATCAATCGCCTGCGCTCACCATGGCACTCTCGTTGTCAACGCCAGCACCACTACCATCAACACCATGCAACCGCCTCCAAATCATCATCACCAAGACCCAGCCTCGATAAAACCCTCCCTCCACCACCTAACGTTGCCGCGTCCCAATCCACCTCCCGGTCTACCTCAGAGCCAACCCTAAGCTCAATAACAACCGTTCTTATCGGCGCCAAGCAGCAACCCTTCAGCGTGAACTGCCAACTCCTTTGTGAGGCATCGCCCTTCTTCTCTGAGCGCCTCCTAGAGAACTCCCAGCCGAAATCAGTTTGCCTCTGGCTCCCCGGTGAATCCTCCACCATGTTCGCCCTCTTCGTCCACTGGGTTCACGCCCCGGGCTCGTTCCGCCAGTTCCTCGACCATTCTATAGCCTCAGCCCATAACACGGGCGAGCAGGCGGCGCAGGACATCCACTGGGCCATTATCCGCTTACATCTCTTCGCCTCGCACCTGGACCTTCACAAACTACAAGACCTAGCCATGGACGCCATCCAAGACATGTACCTCAAGTACGACTGGGACGTGCCGCCAAGCCTGATTACCTACCTTTACACGCAGTGCGAGTCCCTGCCGGCCGTCCGCGTCCGCAGATGGGCCGTGGCCATGGTCGCCTTCTCCCAGACAGTCGGCAGCAGCATCGCCAACTTGAAGTTCCACCCCCAGGATTCCGCCACCTCGGACCCGGCGCGGTTCAGGGCCCTCTTCGACTCGCTGCCCGACTTTGCGGCCGACTACGCCACGCACGTCCGCAACATGAAGGCCGCCCGGCTGGACATACGCTCCAAAAACCCGCAGCTGCGCATCTCGGCCAACAAGCTACGCAATGACGAGCGCCTCTTCGGCTTCCGCGAGTGCTCGTTCCACTCGCATCGCGCCGCCATCGGCGAGCGACGCTGCCCGCACAGCCGCGGGAGGAGCCGGAGTAAACACCCCGACATGGGCTTGCGGCTAAGGGATTCGTATACCGGTGTTCGGGAACTGATACCAGAGCCGCTATTCACGAGTGGCCGGCGGGAGGAGGCGAGGTTAAAGCACGCGCGGCCTATCTCGAGTGAGATGAGGGAAGGGTAGCGTCTCTCTCTCTCTCTCTTTTCTTTTTGCGGGGATAAGAGGCAGCTGTTTCTACGCCTTCATCTTCATTTTCTTTCTTCCCTTTCTCTTCTTTTCTTTCTTGGGGGGATTTCTCGCGGAAACAGCTACTAGTTGAGTAATAAGCGTGGGCTGACGCATCGCGAAGCAGCGGGAGACCCGTGTAAGTCAGTCGTTTGGCATGAAACAGGGTGGTGGGCTACGGCATGTGGCAGTGTTGCTGATCAAACGACCGCCCCTTACGCGGCACATGTACATATCATGCAGCGAACTTGCTATTGAACAGTGGATCGAGAAGATCCCTGGGTAGACGATGAATGACACGTTATAAATCTGCAAGGAGAGCATCGTGAGGCCGCTGTGCGTGTTGTTAGCAGGGTGGGCGGCCATTAGTAGCTGGCATGCCAAGCATGACTGGAATATGCGGTGCTGCAATGCCCATGTACAAGGAAGGGGCCGTGGAGGCGTAACGAGTGCCCGGCATCAATTGATCATGGCTAGCTTGATAAATGCCAGGCGTCACTCGAGCTTGGTTGCTGGTGGGAACAGTTTCCGCAGCCTGATACGATGTAGATGCTGCTCGTTGACACGGCTACAGTTGTACTTGTAGGAGGTCAGACGCGTAGATTACTATTTAATTCATCCACAACCTACTTTAGATATCAAGGTACGAAGTACTGCTCTTGGACTTAGGGGTTACGTGGGCAACGTCTGTTTCTCTTGCCGCCCCAACCCCTCTTCTTTCAATCTACTCTCATCTATTCTGTAGATAGATAGATGGCTTATAATATATAGTGGCAAAACACGTGTTCCAGGCAAAGCACACAGAAATAGGGCAGTATATTAAATGATATAGCTGCTAGCCGAGTGTAGAAATTCTTTTCAAAAAAAAAAAAAATCTAGTAGCAAAAATATAGCCATCGCTCCTCTGAGGTCTGTTAACCCTCTTTAATTATCATTCAGTCGTAAAATCGTCACGGAAATTGTCCCAAGGTAAATTGCTGCCGACTCTCGTCGGATGTCGTCAGCCTGCAAAAGGTGCTAGGTAGCAGAAAAAAAAATACAAAATAGGTATATATAAAATGGTGGGTAATGGTGAAGAAATCGTAAATATCATTATATTTCCACATGTCGAAAGGGGACGGCATATTTAGAAAGGTGACTGCGACCGTCGACCTTCTCTGTCTCTGCGGCGAAAGCGCTTCAGGCGTTCGTCGATATATGCAAGGCGGTTGGCAAGCGGCGTCTTGTTAGACGATGACGCGGCACTGTTCACACTCTCCCCGCCAGTTTGGTGTACGGTAGCAAATGGACGGACGACGGCGTCGACATTGATCGTCGAGACGCTGAAGTGGCGGTTCGGAAATGAGTGGCTCGCGGCCTTTGCTGAGAATGGCGAGCCTAGCCTGGCGGGGACAGTCTGTGAAGGCGTCAAGCCAGTTATTGGGGGGAAACCTGAGGACCCGGCGGCTGGTGACGGAGCGGGATGTGAGGCCTCAAAGAGTTCCTGCAAGTTGGCGCGAGGGACAAAGAGGCTGTCATGGTGGTTGGAATCGGTGGAGCTGAATTGGATAAGGGGCGCACTGGATGCCGCATTCTCGTTGCTTGCCGGGTCTATCCAGAAGTCTGAGCCCAGACTGGGCCGCTTGGTACGTTGTGGTTCCAGCACAGACTGCCTGGATCTGCGCTTCTGCATGCTCGACCGACTCTGGTCGAGTCTCAAAGGCGACCTCAAGCCTCGCAGCGTACCAACCGTGCGGGCTTGTCGTTGGGCTTCGGGACTGACATCAAAGGCCTCTTCCAACCCTGTTGATGAGCTAGGCCCATAACTCCTAGCCATGAAGGGAGACCCGAGAGGTGGTCTGGGCTGATCCAAGGTGTCTCCAAGGGCAAATATCGGCTGGTGTCCTAGCGTGGTAGCCTTAGTTGACGGTTCGGGCTGCGAGGCGGTCAACCGAGCCAAAGGCCCTTGAGGTTGCATGGAATCTGATGTGCAGATAGCTAGGGACATGGCCATGTCTGAAGCAGAGAAAACCGTGGGAGAGCGGGCAGGCGCCGATCGACGGTTCCAAAATCGATTGATAGACTTGCCAAACGATGCCGGGCTGTTGGACAGGTTTTGGAGGCTGCGAGATGGCCCGCCGCGAGCTTTGCAAAGCTCTCGCAAGTGACCCCTAGTAGCTGCGCATGTGTGTGGCCACTCAATGTATGGCCCAGCAGCCTCGGCTGTTGGCGTTGAACTGCGGCTCTTGATTTCCGACTTGGCCACAGGCCTCGAGCCTTTCCAGCTTCTCTTGGCTTCCCTGGCCACGCGCATGCATACTCCGGGCGGAGGAATGCCGCTCTTGCCCACCTGAAAAGGTGTAACTTTTGGATCCTGCAGGTACATGGCGTATGTGGACCAAAGATGCTGGCTCATTGCCCTGGTCCAAGGAGCTTTTCTTGATTTCGCTGATCGTGTAGCCGTCATGAGCGACCTAACCGCCCTACCGGCATCCTCTGGCGAAAGGAACCTGCCAAACCGGTCACAATGGTCGCTCTCGGGGCTGGCGCATTGGCTCAGGTCTTCCGATGCAAGAGAGAAGCGACTACACAGTGACGAGCTGGTCTCACTCGATCTTGCCGTGGAGGGCCGGCTGCTGTCATACTCGGGGCTGGACTCAAGGCTGCTAATGGCAGCATCGATTGACCAGTCTGGAAACTGCTTTGTTGACGGCGACGGAGCCAATTCGGGAGCTGGAGTCTTGGGCGGCGAGAAGGTCCTCCTCGGACCGGGGTGTTCAAATGTGACGTCGTCAATCCGGTCCAGTTGGGGGATAGATGGGTAAGCGATGCTCAGCATGTCTTGGTCGTCGTCGTAAACTTGAGGCCCTTCAATGCTGGGGACGGGAACATCGGCGGCGGCAACTGATGCGAGAAACTGCTGAGTCGGGGCGTTGAGTTGTGATGATGTAGTTCGCCTCCTCAAGCGAAACTTGGGCCGCGCTGGTGACGGGGGCTGCGCTTGGCTTTCAGCAAATGGTTCTGGGGTTTTGGGCGCCGCTGCTGCCTGGCGAAGATGCCGTGGGCGAGCGGCCCTGTAGGGTTCAAGGGGTGGCATTGTTGGAGGATGGCTGGCGTTGTATGCGATGACGCTTGTCGCGAGTCCTGCGCGATGGTCGTCGTTGATCTCGGGGAGGCGCACGGAGTGGCCGTTGAAGCAAGGGGGATGGATGGACAGAGGAAATTCGGCGCGCAAGTTGCAAAAGTGTCTAGAGTCAACTGCAAGGTCGTCTGAGCTTGCCTGTTTCGTTTTGAGGGTTGTTGTGGTGTCGGTTTTGAATGGCTACGCCGGGCAGGCCGACCTTGTCGCAAAGCTAGACAGGTCCTTGTCGCAGGCGGAATGCAGAGTCTCAGTCGCTGCGTCGAGCCACGCGATTGATGTAGGGATGCGCCACGACGAAGAATCGCAGAAGCAAATACTAGTATTGATTCGTAGGTAGTACCGGGACAAAGAAAAAATGACGGGTCGTCGCGAGAGCTTCGTGCGCGAGGACGGGAAACGGCGCGCGGTCGGAGGAGTCTGCGCCTGGCGCTGCCGGCCAAGGTTCAATGTTGGACCAAGGAAATGCCACGTCGCTATTGAGGCACGGAGCGTCGCGATAGTGTAGCGAATTCGTCGTCCAGAGACGGGAGCGGTGGTCTTGCGACGCAGCAACTGGCAATCGAGAGCAACTCTGCCCGCTGGCGTGTCGGCGCAAAGGAGGGACTGGAATGAGGAGGATGAAGGAGAGGAGTATGGCCCAGGGCGCCCGGGGTGTGGAGGAGCAGTTTGTATGTACCAGACATGTATGGCGGTGGAGTTGAGAGACTGGCTGTTTGGGGCAGCGAGGGGAGGCGAGAGACGCCAGACAGCGCCTGGAGCCCTGGGGAGGGGGGAGTGGCCGAGGACGCGCACCCAACCAGGCAGAGGCAGGCCCTGCGAGTCTGCGACGCACAGAGCAGACATGGACTGGAGAGCGTCGACGGTAGAAGACGCATCGATCGACTCGACGGTAGCCAGCGAGGTGCGGGAGGTGCGGATGCGCGAGGACCCTGTTGGAACAAGCGCCAGCCAGGCCTCTTGCTGCGGACAGGGGCCAGGCACACACAGTGCTCGCGCTGCGGTGCAGGCTCATGGTGCCTGGCCTGTCGCTTCTGTCGATTTGCACCACTGGCCACCAGGCGTCCACCGGCCTGTTGCTTGGTCGCCGTGCCTCGACGCGCTCCATGTTTGGTCCGTTGCTCACGCGGACCCATCGAGACGCACCAGAGCTGTCGACTAAAATGCACGCCGGCGGGCCTTGCCAGAAGCCGCCCCCCCACTTGAACGCTCGGGCCCCACCCTCGATGTCGGTGACCTCAAGTCCTCAAGCGCCTTCGAGTCTTCAACTTGGAGCGGTGATGGCGGTGGAAAGACCAGACACCAGGTTGCGTCTGCGGGAGCTGGTCGGGCGGACCGTCCAGACGTCCTGCAACGTGCAGAGTTCACTGCAACCCGGAGCCGCCGTCATCAACACTTCCCAAGCCCAGCAGATTGACCCCTTGGATGTGCTCTTTTGAGAGTTGGGCGGTGGGATGGAAAGTGGCAGCAATCATGTCTGCGACCCCAAGCCAAGAAGAGATGGGAGTCTTCAAACAACAATTGGTGGACACTGCTGCTTCGACATGCAGCCTCTCAGTTCCTCGTATGATGCAGACCGTACCAAGTACCGAGGAGTTGCCAAAAGCTCTATTTTTAACCGAGAACAACTACCAAGACGGGAACGGGAACAGCAACGGCTTGCTAGCAGACGACTAACGGCAACCGGTGGCGGCCATTGTCTAGCTCCAAGAGTCATGTAAATGCCAATCGTCCAACATTCGACAAGTAGAGTTAAGTAGTAGCGTACTGTAGATGGGATGGTGATTTTCTTAGTGATTAAAATTGCGGTGGAGGGCGATGGCAACGGCTACTATTCCGTAATCGTGTGTTGGAGGATGACCGTGGCCGAGACTAATTCTTGTCTTGACCCTGGCGTCGTCACTCGCGAGCTTAATATGCTCACATTTCCGGAAGATGAATAGCTTGGCCGCCCAGAACGAGGGTTTGGTAGGTTACAGTATACTCGAGTGAGGAGTACGTAATGATTCAACCCCCAAGTGTGCATGCAAGGGCTCGGGAGGCTATCCAGGTACTACAATCCGTCAACGTGGCCAGCAGCACTGCAACGTTGGCAAAGAGATGGAGAGGAGGAGGCTGGCGATGGTCACAATAATTGCTGTCTGGGATGGGATTGGCCGTTAGATGCCAGCGTTGGACAGTGAGAGAGTGCTTGTCGTCGTTTCCTCATTTCTCGACCCAAGTCGTGGGAAAAAGCAACCGCTTCTCCTCCAGTCCGTTAAACTTTAGCCTTGGTATGCAATCTAGTGTGGGCGAAAAGCCCTAGTACTACTACTGGATTTGGGCGGGTACCTAGGCGAGAAAGAATAACTCGCAGCATTCGCGATTGCGACGTCTCTGTCAACCCCGTCGCGGCAAGAAACTTGCTATCATTACGATGAAGCATCTCGACGCCAGCTCCCGGTGCGATTCGGTTATGACTTCAGAGACACGCTGAGGAAATCGGCTCTTCCTCGCTCAATCGCCAATTGCGGATTGTGTGGAATATACGGAGTACGGAGTAGTATCTAGTCCGACGAGGATTGTGCGTGGACAGGATCAACGCAAAGTCGCGTGTGACGCGTTTCCGACGCGTCAAGAGCGGGGAAGCGTGCCTGGGATAGCATCCAATCATCGGCTCTCCTTCGAGTGGCTGGTGGGGTTGTCCGACTTCACCTCGATGCCACGCAGCAGTTAGCATTCCAGCATGAACCCTCTGCATGTCTTCACGTCCAGATGTGCCTTTGTGCTCTGCGCATCTTCCCAACTCAACTGAGCACCGCATACAATATTGTGGCAACATGGATACTAGTCGGCATGGTTTTACACGGCCTCGGCCAGTCTATTCAACCGACTTGTCGCCTCGACCATTCGCGGAACACTCCCCTACATTTCCGATGCTGCCATGTCAAGCTTGAACTCTGGGGAGGAAGCATATTCTGGGGTTGCATCACTACAGCCTATCCCCCCCCAAGGTTCCAAGGGGCGCACGTTTGTCACATTGATCACATTGATCACATTGTAGACCCCAGTCCCTTAAATGACACGAATGCCCACGTTCTTGGACTTGTGGACTGTCAAGTCTCGACTGTGCTTCTCACCTGTGATGGAGCGACTCACAACAAAGTAAAGTCGTATTCCCGCTGATGGGGCAGACTGTTCGGGGTATCTCTCAAACCATATGGGTGCATGCGTTGGGATCAATGCACCGTAGAGAGTGCACAACAATGTCCTCCAGTGATACGAGATGTCGTCTACAATGGGCTGGTGCCCATACATGAGCCGATGCCTTATAGATATCGCTACAGAGCCGAAGCGCCAGCAATCAGGTTGTACAGAGTACTTCGTCGCAGTTTCTTTTCCTGCAAACATGTGGCGAAATTTTGGACCATTGGCTTCGCCGGTTTCCTCTTGGACTATCAGGTCGTGAGCCTCATCTCTTGTAATTGCCGGTTCTCAACGCATCAAACGGGAACACAGGAATGTGCCCCTTCCATTTCAGACCCATTGTCGTACACCAACGCCCTCGCAGGGGAGGAAAAGAGTAGCAGAGCCATCTGAAAAGGAAATCACCAGCATGAGGCCGTCCATGGCGGACAGCACTTGTCGGCGCCATTGTCAATGCAACGAACATTGGAATGCCAGCTTGCTCGGTTCGCAAAGCGCATTCCGGTCCTGGAACACAACCACATGGTCAAAACACAAAACACTACCTGGCGAGACGGGATTTTAGCTGGCGCAGTGTTCCAGACGCCGGCCATATGGCGACATTGTCCTCGTGTTTCACTCGACTGCAGCGAATATGTTGGGAACCTACTACGTAGTACGGAGTAGTAATGGTGTTCTGTCTGGAATTGGGGAAAGTTCTCGCCTCACATTCCCCTCTGCCGTGGCTTCCTTTCTCGAACTAGGGCCAATCGTGATGTCGGTTCCACAAAGAGAACAAACCTGGTCTGCGAGTCGCTCACTGGAGAGCCAATCGCTACATTCTGCCATGTAACTCCGTACAAGATGAAGAAGTGTATCGTGGAGTATCAGCCACGCAGCGGGGTGGCGTGTGGAGTGATTGTTAACCGCTTGCAGGTAGTTGTACCCAAGGCAGTTGAATGGGCCCAGCCAAACGTCCACTCGCGAGAGAACAACGGGCCGGTGTTGAGGCCAGCACTTCTATGAACAATTCGGGCCCCTAGGTTGCGAGGGAAAGGATGCCGAATAGACACCCCAATGTACTCCGTACATACACCACCCTTATAATTAGCCGTCTCGGTCGAGACATCACGCTCTCCAGCGATGGGTAAGTACAGAGCACGAGGGCACAAGTAAATGTCCTAGAAGCAACATTACCACAACATCAACGTCTAGAGAACGACATGATTCGGAACGGCTCGTCCGCCATACACTAGAGGAATGCGGTTGACCCTGTCACCCTGTCTCCCAGCTACCCATGAAGTCTGTCCACTGAGACACGCAGAATGGACACGCAGGAACTTGATGATGCGTCACGGGCAAACCCAACTGTCCCCTCTTTTCGCTTTCGTGCATTCCAGATACGACCCCATCTTGGACGGTCCTTCTCTGTGGCCAGGAATACACTTACTAATAGCATCTCCGGTTCATGCCCGACTTGATGCCACAAGGCCCGGACGGGAGCGTCCCCGTTCAAGCCGTCCATCCGAGGCGCCAAAGAATGCGGCATCTGCGTCGATTCCCTGGTCCTGGTCTTCGTGCGAGCTGTAAGCTTCTCCCTTCCAGATGTAGTGCCAATTGGCATTGCATTCATTTCTGCCCAACACCCAACAGCGCAAACTGCTGCTTGGTTAACACCCAACCCAATGTTGTGACATCATCTTGTTTTCCCGTCAAGCCAAAGTGTGCATGTACAATATAAGGGGGTCGGGCAACGTTTTGGCAACTGAGTCGCGGTCGGGTGTCTAGTTCTTCAAAATTATCAGACCTCTCAGGAGGTGCCCGTATACCCGAGTCTCTTAGCATTGTTGATACCGACTCCCGTCCCCGGACCCGTATGCCGCGAGTGTACCATTCATGTGCTATCCAATACCTGCGAAAAGGCTCGTTGGCTGAGCAAACGTAGACGGAGGATACAGAAACACGTCGTGGCGTCGCCAAGATTTCTCTAGGTTCACGGGCAGGGTATTTTGTTGATGATCTACCATGTCGTTAGACAATTTCTGTCATAGTATTTCAATAGGGTGTCAACATAGCTTATAACTAGACTTGCGCAATCGGATGACAGGTTTTGCCTAGATATGCGATATCTGTTGATGCTTGGTATGTTCTGGCTGGTGCACTTCGTATTCAACCATGGATATCATGAAAAGAAGAAAGATAAATGGCTGGTTGAAGAAATTGCTGATTCTTTGTTGATACATATGTTTAAAACTGGCCTTTTCTGCAGTCATTCATTCTCACCTTAACAAGCAAGGGCAAGGCTTGCTCGGGACTTGTGTAGACAAGAAATACGGGGTGCAGAGCATCAAGTATGGAGTATGGGGATGTACTCCGTATGCATGTAGCTCGGAGATTTGCCCTGCCCACTTGAGCACTCGGCTCGCCCGTTGAAGCACCTGCCCAGACTTGGTCCATACCCTGATGCTCACCCCACTTTCAATCATGACTTCCCAAAATTCCGGCCGCAGAGAAGCCTCACCGTCCACCTTTACTTCTGATGATGCGCATGCTATGATACCCAACTCCCGCCGCCTCTAGCCGACCCAATCATTTCGCACTCCTGTCGAACTTCATCATCATTGTGTATCTTGTTTTTTTTTTGGGCCACGGCCGGCTTAATCATTCTCTCCCACCATGCCTCCGTCGGATATCATAACCCTGGAGACCCTCCACGAGAAACTCCCACGATGGCATCCCAACTATGAAAACCATCTCTATGCCATTGTTGACATGGGAAGGTCTGCTTACTTTCAATTACCCAATTGAAAAACCCGTTCTAAGTAAAATCATAGTAATGGAATCCGATTTTCAATTACGTCCTTAAAACCTCCTACCACGAGGCTCCTTGAACCGGTCTACTCCAGTCGGGTAGCCATATCTCTCTTCGATGCTTTGACACCTTCGGATCGGGGGCCAATATTTCCCTCTG